GCGACGCAAGACATTAGGGCTCGTGCTGTAGCTCATATCTTCACTAGGGTAGGCTTTACTATAGCTAGAGGAGTGAGGATCCAGATTGTATCTCGGCTTCCCACTAATTTATTGTAGGTTGTATGACTTTGTCTGTTTTTGAGATATAATAATAATAATAATAATAATAATAATAATAATAATAATAATAATAATAATAATAATAATAATAATAAATAGGCTCAGTCTTTAGGAAGCTACTTTGATGGTCTCCAATTTGGTGTTGGAGTTTCTTCGGGAGGTGAGGCAATTCTACATGCTGTGAATCGGTTGATTGAGGATCGTGGTTCCGATGTGGGTCTTTCTATTTTATTGGTGGATTTTCAAAATGCCTTTAATCTAGTTAATCGTGTTGTCATGCTACGTGAAGTTCGTCGTCATTGTCCGGGCCTTTCGCGATGGGTTGAATTCTGCTACACTAATCCAGCTAGATTGTATTACAGGGACCACACCTTATGGTCATCTCGGGGGTGCAGCAGGGTGATCCCCTTGGTCCCCTGCTTTTTTCTTTGGTTTTACAGCCCCTAGTGTGTAAAATCCGAGACACTTTTGATGTATGTCTTCAGGCTTGGTATTTGGATGACGGTACTGTTATTGGTGACACGTTGGTGGTGGGGAAGGTTTTGCAGTTGATTATGGAGGACGGGCCTCGTTTTGGGTTACATCTTAACGTCGAAAAAACTGAAGTTTTTTGGCCTACAGAAGACCCTCGAAGCAAGCTTATGGGTGTCTTTCCACCTAATATTGCTCGACCCTTGCGTGGTGTTAAGTTGCTTGGTGGTCCCGCTAGTTATGATTCCGGTTTTGGAGGTGGCCTTGTGATGCAGAGGGTGACAAAGACCATTGCGCTTATGGATGGGGTTGCTAATCTTGATGATCCTCAGTGCGAGTTGTTGTTGCTTAGGGCTTGTACCGGAGTTTCCAAACTCTACTTTGCTTTGCGTACTTATCCCCCTAGTACTTTTGAGGTGGCTTAGCGCACTTTCGACGAGGCACTTCGATCTTCCTTGGAGCGTATCGTTGCTTCAGGGCCTGGGTTTGGCGATTGGCAATGGCGGCTTGCCACCTTGCCTTTTGCGTATGGCGGACTAGGTGTTTATTCCGCAGGTGATGTTCGTCATTATGCTTTTCTTGCTTTGCGGTTACAGTCTGCTTGGTTGCAGACACAACTTCTACAACATACTGGCGTTGTGGGCCTTGGTCGAGCATTTGAGGATGCGTTGGGCTTGTTCAATAGAACGGCGGAGTCTGACATTTTAAGTAATCCTAGTGAGGTCGCTGCCCCTAAACTCATGAAGAAATTGGCAGATATATATTTCACAAAGGTTACTTTATTCATGGGATCGTGGTCCTCAGACCTACTGATGTGTTACTTTATTCATGGGATCGTGGTCACGATGTATGTGTTACTTTATTCATGGGAACGGGGCCCTCAGACCTGCTGATGTGTTACTTTATTCATGGTATCGTGGTCACGATGTATGTGTTACTTTATTCATGGGAACGGGGCCCTCAGACCTGCTGATGTATTACTTTATTCATGGGATCGTGGTCACGATGTATGTGTGGACTTAACAGGATCTTCTCCTTTGACACAGACAGGCCTATCTGACTTTGTTCCTGGACGGGTTGTAGTTGATGTGGCTCATCGGAAGCGGGTGAAATATGAAGCTAGTTGTCGGCTGATTGGATATGGTTTCATTCCCTTTTCCTTTTCTTCGCTTGGGGAATTAGAGAAGGAGGATGTTGTGTTGCTGAAACGGGTTCAGAGGTTCTCGACGACGCAAGACATTGGGGCTCGTGCTGCAGCTCATATCTTCACTATGGTAGGCTTTGATATAGCTAGAGGAGTGGGGGCCCAGATTGTTTCTCGGCTTCCCACTAATTTATTGTAGGTTGTATAACTTTGTTTGTTTTTGAGATGATGATGATAATAATAATAATAATAATAATAACAACAACAACAACAACAACAACAACAACAATAACAACAATAATAAGTTTTAACTTCACTAAGTTTCAATCAGATTTAATAATTTCCAATCATTTCATAAAGTCTAATAAGTTCCAATCATGTTCAATCAAGTCTAAAAAGTATCAATTAAGTTCAGATAAGTTTAAGTCCAATCAGGACTGTTGACACCTAAATTTTGTTAATTTTTAAGTGTCAAATATATGTAAATAAGGAGATAATATCAATTAAATATTATATATTATCTTCGAAATCTTGTAGGCTATGTTATAATTATCTTGTACTTTACTCTATGACTCTTTATACAAAGAGGTCGTCGTTTCTAGGGTTTAATCAGACTCGGATGGAATAAGTCACAAATATTCCATCTCCTCCCTACTACCAAACATTGTAGGTATATAGTATGGAATAAGCAGACAAGGCCCCGTACTATAAACAAATATCAAAAGTCAAAACCCTAGCTAGCCCCTTTGGAGAGAGGAATCAAGAAATCTACAAGATTTTTTTTCTCTAAACTTATTTCATCCAAACTTATTTAATCTAAAATAAGTTAAGATAGGATGAAACAAACCAACATTTAGGCCCTATTCTATTCACCTTATTTTCACTGAGAAATAAAGGTACCTGATGATGATATAATATATACTCTAAAAATATATTTTTTAATATGTAATAACTAGTCAAAGATTACTGACCGAACACTCTAATCTATCTTCATAACTAACAGCTTATTGACAGCTAACAAGAGTAACAACTATCACCACAGCTAACACCTATCACCACAACTAACAACTACCTCCACAACTCTATTTTGCCGAACATTCCCTTATTGATCTTAATAATTTTTAAGAAAATTCAACTGTAGATGCAGTGGTGTAACCAGAAATTTTACATTTAGGGGGACAAGATCAAATATATACGAAGTATTTATTTATTTTGTCTAGAAATAAGTTTTATTCTCTCATTGCAAACTTATAATTTTTTTAATACTAAGCTATTATTTATCCTAACATATATATAACTGCTACATTTTTTTAAAAATAATTAAAAATAATTAAGAAAACTTTTTTTAAAAAAATTGTAAAATATTATTGTACATGCTAAGGGAACTTTGTTTTTTAAGAGGACATATTAAGATCCCAATATGGAGCAAGCCCACTAGCAAATATAAAGCCTAAAGCTAAAAAAATAATAATAGTTCACTAGGAATCGAACTCCAGTGTCACGATTCAATTTCTTTAGGACAAACCAGCTTAACTACAATGTATAAGCTATTTCTATATGCATAATAAGGTCTTATTTGGTTGCACTTCAATAATGGGAGAAATACAAATTCATGGGAAATGTATTTAAGAGTAGTTGTTTGATAGCAAAAATGTAGGAAGTGGAAATTCCTAAGGAATTTGGAATTCCTAAAAAACATGGCAATTAATTTCCCACACCCTACCTTGATCACTCAAACTTTCCACATGTATCTTAGGTGAAATTACATTATTGTCCTCAAAATTTTGGAAAAATTGTTCAAGTTATAATTATACATGGGTATTACATAAGTTAACCAAACAAAACATAGGAAACTAATTCATGGGAAATACGATTTCCTATATGTCAACCAAATACAATTTTAGTATTTCCTAGGCAATAAAATTTCCCATATTTTGTAACTTCCTATAGGCATTTAATTCCCATATGCAACAAATGAGGCCTAAATTTTTAACTAAATCATAAAGGAGGCCATGGCCTACCCCAACCCTTCCCCCTGATTCCGCCCCTGTGTAGATGGTAAGTCCACATACATACTGTTATAACATACTACATACACACAATAAGCTTTGAAATCTATAAAAATATTAGTTAACTTTAATTGGCTTTGCATTGTTGAAATACCTTATCTCTAATATACAAGCTATACGAAGTATCTATTCGTGATGCTTTTGAAAAAAATATGGATACGAGAATTACAAAAGACGATTTTATATTCTACGAAATATGAAGACATCTAAAACTTTGTTTTAAAGATACCAATTCCTAATACTCCATAGAATACATCCAAGCATAAAATACATAATATTCTCACTTGTGACAACCAACCCCCAAGTTGGGTCTCAAATAAATGATTATAATGGTATAATGAACAATAGAGGATAAACAAAGGCAAAAGAGCAAAAAATTGCCAAATTTGTGTATATTACCTACTCTTGAGGCTTTTGAAAACCCAAGGTTGGATTCCATGTAGATTTGGTAATACTTATTCAAACACAAAATTTTGCTCCTTCAACCTAATTGGTCAACACCAATACTACTTCCCAACCCCAACAAATATTGGTGGGATCACATTAAATTCCTAGGTTACCCCTTTTACATATACCCCTATTCAATATCACCGCATGAATAACAAGCCTCTATTAGGGAAATCCAATTTTGCTTGCCGAAGATGAATCTTTCCTATATCAATTTTTATTATTTTTTTAATAATATTACCTCCCTCAAAAAGTTGAATTTTTTAAAAATAAAACCAAAAAGGTATAAACAAACAAGAAGGGTGGATGGATCCCACATTTGAAAAAGAGATTTATTATTATTATTTTATTTTTTGTTTAATTATTTATTAAAAAAAATTTAAAAAATAATATTGGACTATTCTCCATTATCTGAGGGAGGGGCCCTCTTTCTTTTAACATGACCCCAACAATACCAACACAAAAAAAATGAACGATAAACAAAATAAAATAAAAATAAAAATAAAAAATACACTCATAGAATTTTCATTCTTTTATTTTACAATATATATTTAAATTCAAAAAAATAAAAGAAGCGCGTGAAGTTGAAACGCAGAGTGAGTGAGTGTACGGAGTAATGTCGTATAGTGAATTCGTACGTTGGACTTTGAGTATTGGTTTGAATAATCAAAGGAAATAAAAGTATAAATGTAACTCGTAACAACAAAGGCGCGTGAATTAAATTCTGAATTCTGAAACAATAAGGACTTCACAAACACAAACACTTAAACACAAAAAACACCCTTCTTTTTATTTATTTGATTTTCTCTCTCCTAGAATTTTCCCATTTTCTCTCTCCTCTCTAATTACCCATCACTCACTGCGAAACAACTTCGCCAAAAAATTTGCTGTAACAAACCCACCACCCTTCTCACGAAATTCACTGACTCTCTCCCATTTTTCAGATCATTCATTTCTTTCTTTCTTACTTTCTCTCTCCTCTTTTTTTGGTGGTGGTTGTTTTTTTCTATCTCCTGTTTTTTCTGTTTCTGTTATGGAGAATCGCCGGCGATGCAAACTCCGGCGAGTAGTAACGGTTTTTTCCGGGTGAATGTGTGGTTGACGGAATTCGTAATCTTCCTTTGAACAAGAACAACCCCAGAAAATAGGAATACAGTGTTTTTTTTTAGAGTGGTAGAAGAAAGAGAGAGATAAATGTCGGCCGCAGCGGGAAGCGCAGGGGAGACGGCGGGTGAGGAGGCGACGGCGAAGGCAGTGCATAAGAGGTATGAAGGGTTGGTGTTGGTGAGGAATAAGGCGATAAGGGGGAAAGGGGCGTGGTATTGGGCCCATTTAGAGCCGTTGTTGGTTCGTAACGCCGACACTGGATTGCCCAAGGCAGTGAAGTTAAAGTGTTGTTTGTGTGACACCATGTTTAGTGCTTCAAACCCATCTAGAACTGCCTCTGAACATCTTAAGAGGGGTACTTGTCCAAATTTCAGTTCTCCGACTACGCCCAGGCCTTTGTCGTCTGTTTCGCCACCACCACCTCCGGTCGGTGAGTCGCAGTCGCTGTGTTTGTCATCTGGTGGTGGTGGTGGTGGCGGAGGCGGAGGTGGTGGCGGAGGCGGAGGTGGTGGTGTTGGTAGTACTACTACGACGACGAATAACAGTACTGGGACTACACCACCGCCGCAGCAGTACAACCACCGGAAGAGGAGTTCTTCGTCGTCTTCCGGTGGTGGTAGTGCGGGAGGTGTTGGTGTTGGGGGTGTTCCGACCACACCCAATACCAACACCAACACTATGGGGAACACAAATGCCCCATATGTGGCTCCTATTAATGTGATTGACCCAGCTCGGTTCTCGGCCGAGATGGGTTATACAAGTGGTGGTGCATTGGTGGTTCACCAAGCCCTATCACAACAGCAGCAGCAAAATCAGGTGAATGTTCAGCAACAATTGGGGTTGGCGGGTGGTGGGGGAAGTGGTGGGAGTGGCGGAGGGAGAGGGGATGAAATGTCGGATGCTAGGGATACTTTTGAGAAGAGTATTAAGAAATTGAAGAGCCCTAAAGCATCACCCGGGCCTGCTTTAAGCAAGTCTCAAATTGAGTGTGCACTTGATTTGTTGAGTGATTGGGTGTATGAGTCAGGTGGGTCTGTGTCGTTTTCAAGCCTTGAGCACCCAAAGTTTAAGGCCTTCCTTAATCAAGTGGGTGTTCCTGAGGTTTCTAAGAGGGAGTTTTGTGGGTCTAGGTTGGATTTTAAGTACGAGGAGACTAGGAAAGAATCCAAGGCTAAGATAAGGGATGCTCCCTTCTTCCAAATTTCAACTGATGGGTGGAAGCCTAAGGGTAGTTTTGAGGAGAATTTGGTGAATCTGACTGTGAATTTGCCGAATGGTGTGAGTGTTTACCGGAGGGCGGTGTTTACGGGCGGTCAGGTGCCGTGTAAGTATGCTGAGGAAGTGTTGTGGGAGACAATGGCAGACATGTGTGGCAATGGTTTGCAGCAATGTGTAGGAATAGTAGCTGATAAGTTTAAGAACTCAGCATTGAAGAATTTAGAGAATCAGAATCAGTGGATGGTTAATCTTTCTTGTCAGTATCAGGCCTTTAATGGTTTGATCAAAGATTTCTATAGGGAGCTCCCTTTGTTTAAAAATGTTGCTGAGAACTGCCTTAAGCTTGCAAACTTTGTCAACAACAAAACCCAAGTGCGAAATAGCTTCCACAAGTACCAACTGAGAGAGTATGGTCTTGCTGGTTTGCTTCGAGTGCCTACGAAAGAGCTCGAAAATTTGAATTTTGAGCCTATTTATGCTTTGATTGAAGACATAATGAGCTCAGCTCGAGTGTTACAATTGGTACTCTTAGATGAATCTTACAAGATAGTATCAATGGAGGACCCAATTGCTAGGGAATTTGGGGAGATGATTCGAGATGTAGGGTTTTGGAATGACTTGGAAGCAGTGCGCTCATTGGTAAGATTGGTGAAGGAAATGGCTCATGAATTTGTGACTGATAGGCCTTTAGTTGGACAATGCCTTCACCTGTGGGAAGAGCTTAGGACTAAGGTTAAAGATTGGTGTGTCAAGTTCCACATTGCTGAAGCTCTCATCGAGAAGCTGATTGAAAGACGGTTCAGGAAGAACTACCATCCTGCTTGGGCTGCCGCTTACATTCTGGACCCCCTTTATTTGGTGAGGGACAGCAGTGGGAAGTACCTTCCACCCTTCAAATACCTGACACCCGAGCAAGAGAAGGATGTTGACAAGCTCATTACTAGACTGGTTTCGAGGGAGGAAGCACATATTGCATTAATGGAGTTAATGAAATGGAGGACTGAAGGGCTTGATCCTGTTTATGCACAAGCTGTTCAGTTAAGGGAGAGAGATCCCTCTTCTGGAAAGATGAAAATTGCCAATCCTCATGGCAGTAAGCTTGTTTGGGAAACTTATCTTCCAGACTTCAAGTCCCTCGGGAAGGTGGCTATTAGGCTTATCTTTCTTCATGCCACTGCTCGCGGTTTCAAATGTAATTCTTCATTCTTGAAATGGGTTCAAGCTCATGGTCGTTCGAGGTTGGGGATGGATAGGGCTCAGAAGATGATTTTCATTGCTGCTCATTCCAAACTGGATAGACGCGATTTCACTAGTGATGAAGACAAGGATGAAGAGCTTTTTGCATCGCCAACCGGTGAGGATGATGTCCTAAATGAGGTCTTTGTTGGTCCATGATATGTCTTCAATGCACTTTACATCTTCTTTTAGAAGTATAATCTCATAGCAGAATTTATTGAATTCTTTTAGCCACTTTATTACTCCTTCCACCTTTGTATTTTTGTCTCACACTCTGAAGATATTTTAGGGCACAGTATTGTGGTGAAAGGAGCTACTTACATTATTAGGGTTTCGAATTTTTGTATTTATTCTTATTGTTAGATGCCTTGAGTTATGATTTGCCCCTACCTGGCTATGACTTTCAGTCCATTAGATGTAGAAAAGATACTAGTTTTCTTTGTGAGGATTTCTTGGAGAGCAGGAAGAATGATGTAACCTTGGTTCTGTTGCTTTGAGTAATGATTTTTTCTAAGGGGGAATAGTTTTTCATTTCTCCTTTACATTATTCGAATTTCATTCATTGATCAGTTTACCTGTAAGTTGCAATGGTTCTGCTATCTACCATTTGTGGCACTGATTTGTTCATGTTCTTTTTAGAATTAAAATTTTTGGATCACAACTTATGTTAGTTTCATATCTCTTCTTGCTTAATCTGCATGTCGTCATGTCCACAACAGTGTTCTGGAATGTTCGCAACAAGCCATTACAACTGTCTTGTGTGATACTCTTCTTAATCTTGCTTTGTCTAGCTGACTTGTGCGGCCTAGTGCACTCTTTACCTTCATAATAATAATGGTTATTGCAAAATCTTCAAGTTAAAGGACCTTTGAGCTCTTAACTTAATCTTATGTCCTCTGTTTTTGGTGGTCTGCATCCTGTGAACATTTTGTGAATTCCATACTGCTTTGTCTTTGTTTAGAGTTTATCTTGTTCTTTCTAATTCGGCCAAAATTTTGACATCCATGTCTACTATTATTGTTAGATTTGTTGCCTTTTTCTTTCTTTTCAGACACATTTAGGGTTTCTGCTTATCCTGAACAGTGTGTGCTGATTACTGCTGATTCAGTGCTCTCTACTATCTGTAGACAATGTTGCTGCTTGATGATTCTCAGCTTATGCTTTGAATATATTCCTTAGCTTGCCTTGTTTCTGATAAGTAATATGTGGTTCAGTGGTTATACTGGGTGTCAATAAGCGAAGCATTTCTATATTGCTTATTCAATGCAGGCCATATGTTTCTTTTTCTAGCTTTTGGCTTTCTTCCTTACTGCACTTTATATTCATTCTTTTCCTGTACATTGTTTTTTAAATGTGGTATGATTTTTACATCAAAAGTTCTATAATTGATGAATAGTATGGACATATGCTGAGATTAACACTAATATTTATCTTTCATTTTTAGTAGCTGCAGCATCAGACGATGAAATTGTTGGACTTGGAATGCCTCCTTAGCCCGGTCAATAAACAGTAGGAGCTGCTGTATATCGTGGAGGAAGAATAAGCTGAAAAAGACTTGAGCAGCACAATAAACAGGAACTGCCAGATTCACTTTGTTTAAGGCGGCCTGTTGCTCTATCAATTTTTTAGATTTGGACGGAGACATGGTTTTTTAGGCATTGCAATGGATGCGAGAAGCAAAAAATCTTTATAGCTGGAGTTGCACTTGTTTTTGCTGGGTTCCATATCCTCTCCAAATGTTCTAGCTTTGTGTCTGCACAACACAGTGTGGAACCCCACCATAAAAGGAAGTGGGAGTCTTTTTTGAAGCTTTGGATGGTTGTTGTGGTTCATCAAAAAATGAAAAAAAAGTTAAGTTGGGTCATTACATCAAATCAATCTTTGAATTAGCTAGCTTCTGTTTGAAAACATTAAGCTTAAGTTCATGATGTTCATGCAAAAGATTGATTGGTTGATGCATCTCATCATAGTGTGTGATTACTGTTTGGCGGAGGACCCCAAAATGACGGAAAGACTGTCGGAAAGACACAAACAGAGGAGTGAAGCTGATAGAGATTTTGCAACAAATTTGATTTGAAGATCAGGATATGTGATATCAATCTGATAATTTTACAGGTGATAGGAAGGATTAGTCAATAATCTTAAGAGTAGGCATTTTAGTCCATGTACATTTGCTTCCATTTTAAGTTTGCAACTTTTTTTAGTCAGCTTCATTATTAACTTTGTGTCAATATTATTGTCATCTTCATTCTTTGTTAGTTAAGATGATGCATTTTTATGAAGTCTGATGTCATTCTAATTCTGATTTATGGACCTCTGTTTAGCTTTAGCTTCAATTTTGTTCATCTATTTGATTCTGTAGCATTCAGTAAACCAGACTTGAATTGTTACAGGAGCTGGCTAGCCGAGTATATTTGGTGTTTCCGGCTAAGAATACTGTATGAATTGCTCTTGCAGTTCTGCACAGGGTTTTCACACATTTTATGATGAAGTGAATTTGGTCAGTTTTTTTTAAAATATTTTTATATACTTTTGTAAGCAAACTTTGACAGGAATAATCTCAGATTTGTCCGGTCTCTTTTAATAATCCTAATTTTATGTTGGTTTAAAAATCAGAATAATCTAAATTTGGGAGAATTTTTGTCAAATCTGATGCCAATTATGTTAAGTTTTTTCCTGCATGAAAGTGGCACCAGAACACCCACTTGCTTTGGATGATTTTGTAAAGTTGCCTCAAAAGGCCAGACTTGGCATTATTTTCGTTTGAGGATATTGCTATTGCCTTTTTTTTTTTTTTTTTTACTTGTAACATATTGCTATTCTGGAAACACTATTTATTGCGTAGATTAGAGAATTTTAGCAGTCAATTACTCCGTAATTTATAATTTTATATCACTTGAACACCAATAAGAACAGATTGGGTCTATAAGGTTGTCAATTTTTTATTTTTTTTATTTTTTAATTAAAGTGTTTAATTTATTGTTCAGAATATGTGCCAACACTGCCAATAGTGTACTTTGTATGTTATAAGTTAAAAAAAAAAATAGAAAAAATGATTAATGGTCATTTTTGCCATTTATTTTTTTTTGGGTAATACCCATTATATTATTTTTCAAAAGGGCATTAATCCATTTTTTTAGGAGGCTTAATACTTGTGTAAATGGGTTGAAGTAAGCTATTTTGGGTTGAAAATTTTACCCAACCTAATGCATTTAATTATACTTGGTATGATTTATTCTTATCATTGAAAATCCCAATCCAACATTACAATTTATATCTCATGATTGTTGCTGTCAATGTTGATTATAGTGTTGTTTTAAAGAAGATGATGATGATAATAACCTTTCAAAAATTTCAAATCAAATTAAGTTTTATAAAATCATATTATAGATTCGATTAGACAAGGAAAAGAAGAAATACAAATTAAAAACGTACCAAATTTGGTCAACATACTCGTTCATTTTTCGCCTATCTATATTTGGTATCACTAAATCTGAATATACGAAAAATGGATATGCAACCTTAAAAACAATTTTTTTTAACATAAATTAAATATCAATTACACTAATCCATACGTATTTTTTTTTTTTTTTACATATTCCTACTTATTTCATTTGTAAATGTATTTAATGATTTTATATAGTCCTTGTAGCTATATGTGTCATAGTCATAAATAAACATATCATCATCATGTATAAATACAATTCATTTAAAAAAAAATTCCTTTTGTATCAATCTCATTAACTCAATTGTTTTTTTACAAAGTTCGTGCTAAGCATATCAATGTTATTGATCTCTATATCACCCTATCGGTTCTTGCAAATAAGATAAATTTCGACACAAAATTGTAATTCTAATTTCCTTGCATTAAAAATAATGTTTTGTTCTCCTTGCTTTATAAAATACGTGTACTACATTTAAGGCTAACATAAATGAAATTCGGTCGAAGAAAAATAAATAATTTATGTATATTGAAATGTAAGGATATACGAGTACTAGCTTTCACTACTTTCAAAATGAAGATAAAATAAAGATTTTTTTTTCTTGTAAGAATGATAAATTCAATTCCTATATTGCCAAAAAGTATGATAAGAATAGTGATTACTAATTAGTAATGATGAAGTTCATGTGTTGATAGAGTAGACATAATTTCTGTATCTAGTTACTTGTAATTATTCATCCCGGTGATTGGGATGGACAAATTATGAGTAATTTTAGATTGAGACATTTGAGTGGTTGCAATCAATAATAATAATTATTATTATTATTACTTGTAATTATTTTCTTACTGTACTAAAAAAAAGGGTAAATTTTCAAAATTTTTTTTTTTTTTTTTTTTTTTTTTCCTGTAGTACTTGAGTAACCTTTTTTCTTCATAAAAAACTCCCATCAAATGCGCGCGAATAAGAGTTGGATTTACATTTTCTAGAACGTTTACTAGAGACTAAATTCTCCAATTTGATCAGTAATCATGTACTTACTCTAGTGGTCATTAGTCAGAACTTTTAACTCATTCTCTGTCCCTATCCCTTGTGGTGAGAGAAAATATTGCCTATAGTAGGAAAGATAATTTGTATATTTTACAAAAAAAATTAATTATTTTTTAAGTTTTGTTGAAAAATTATTTAGAATTTTGGCAATTATAAATAGTAGTACAACTTATTTTATGACATGATATAAGAGAGAATCAAAACTTTAAAAAATTAAACTTTTGTAATGATTTTTACACTATTAGAATTGTTTTTACACTTTTCTTTATGAGAGTATACTTTATTAATTTTTTCTAATTTTTTTTATCACTTAAAGGAAAAAGTGTAAAATTCTATCAAATTAAAGAGGATCATACATCAATTTCTACTTATAGACATAAAACACATGACACATGCCCTTTCCATTAAATTCTAAATAGATAATTACTTTTAACTTTTAACATCAAGCTTTTCAAACTTTAATATTACTCATAAGTGAAATTTATACACAAAATTCAACATCCAACAAACTAATGACTTAATTTCTTTTTTTTTTTTTTCACCAATGTACCAAACCTTGGATACAATGCAATAAATATACACCATAAAATGTTGTGTGAAAATTACAAGCCCTAATTAATGGGAACATGTATAATTATATTATTGATAGGTTGATTTATTTTATTGGCGTGTCTTTAATTTTTATACAATATTATGTTAGTGCGTTTAAGCTGTAAAGGAGCAACGATAGCTATGGAAATCGAGTTTGAGAATTTGACCAAATACAGTATTGTGGATTAATTTCATTTTGTGTTATGAGTGCGATTTCTAACACTTTACCAATTAAATTAATTTACACCGCATTTTCGTGCCATCACTACACTACATGAATACATTCTATCAACACAAAGTCACAAACCAATGTGCTTGATTGTATTCCTAACAAGAATACAACCATAGTTTCCAACTCTTATAATTCTCAAATATAATTACCCCACCCACCAAGACAAGGGAAAATTAAACAGTGAAAAGGTGAAGAATCAAAATGGGGTTATCTTTAAATCTTTTTTCAATTTATTTGGTAGAGAGAAGAGTAGAAAATTAAAGTAGAATTATTGAAATATGAAAAAAAAAGTATAATTATAGAGGGAAAAGCTAGTTGTATAGGAAGAGAAATGATATGAAGGGGGGGTCGTCGTCTAATTACTCTTCATTTTAGTGGAAGGACACGATTTTCTTGTCGGCAAATTAAAGCTAAGGGTTTTAGTAAGCTGACTGCTTACCTACTAAAGTTTATACATATGTAAGTAGTATTGCATCAATTACATCAACATTTTTGTTTAAAGCCAAAAGGAGGGGATATAATCATTAGTGTAAGGACGACACATACTTACTTATCTCTCTTTTCTACAAGAATCTTTGCCTCTCCCAATGCTTTCTATACCCTTTACATTTTCCGTTTATCATAATCGCAATGTTAAAATTTTACACTATGCAGATCACACATATAACACACATCTTCAATGTTTTTTTGTGTTAATTAAGAAATAGTAAAATAGATTTTTGCGTGAGATCATCATATAAGTAAATTTGTCTTGATATAGCTCTCCGATGTTTTTTTTGTGCTAAGAAATAGTAAAATAGATTCATGTGTGAGATCATATTATTTATTTTGTCTGTTTTTTTTTTGATAAATTAAAATTTTATTACCAAAAAAGAGCAAGTAAACAATACAACTTACAAAAAGCTAGCTAAGTTGTACCCCCCAACTACACAAGCCTCAAAAGGGCAACCAAACACCTAAAGTTCTTAACAAAATGTAGCCACCTTCTAGGAAGGGTTCTACATAAAATTAAGAACATCACTACTAGACTCAGGGAAACAGGCCACCTTCTAAAAAGGGTGCCTGAACCCAGGACCACACAAAGCAAGACAAACCAAATCTAGCAATTACAAGATCAAAACATTTCTGTCACTAGCAGGACATCTACACGCAATATTAAAGATAATATCATTTACAGCACAATCAACAGGCTTACAACTACCCTTAAAAATAGTACTATTCCTCTAAATCCATATACAGTGAACAGTTTCTGCAAAAGCCATCAAGAGCAGCCTAACTTTTGTTCTGTTCTTCTTGTAGTATTGCTGCATCCAATAAACTTCTTCTGAGAATCCCTAAACATGCCTGTAGCACTTCAATCTATTCAAGATAGCCTTCCAAACCTTCCTAGAGTAATCACAAGAAAAGAACAAGTGTTGCACTGACTCATTTTCCTGCAAACAGAGAAGACATACAGGGTCATAGTACACATTCCAGGAAATTAACCTATCTTTTGTCAGCAGCCTATTCCATAAAGCAAGCCACAACATAAAAACACATTTTGGTGATGCATTATTGTTGCAGATTAACCTTTTCCATTCCATTTTTGGTCTCTGGGTCTGATAAGCCTATATAGCTTACTAATCTTCATAGAATTGCCATGGATGACAGAGCTCCAGCCTCCCAAATTATCAATAATATTCCTGCACTACAAAATTTTCTTTAGAACCCAATAACATTTCTTAGGAACAGGGAAATCCCAACATTGTCTATGTTTTGAAATAACATACATTAACCCACTTAACCCATAAGCTATCAGCTTTATGAGCTAAATCCCAGAGAAGCTTGGTGATTGTTGTCTTATTCCAATCAGTGAGAGAAAGAACATTCCAACCCCTACTCACCTTGGGAAAGCAAACTGTATCCCAAGCAACTAAAGCCTTTTTAGAGAAAGTAGAGCTCTCAGTCTAGAAAAAAGCCCTAAACCTTGCTTCAATTTCCCTAAAAATTTTCTTAGGCAAGATAAAGATCTGAGCCCAATATGTCTGAATCCCAAAGAGCACCCCTCTAACTAGTTGAAG